CTGATATAGTGCCGGAAGATGAGTCCCTCAGGTCGGAAGGCACTCAAAATACTACTGGGGAAGAGCTGCCTCCTCAAAGTAGAGTCAGCCTTAATGGCATGGATGGAGTAAAGCTTTCAGGACCTCCATTTGTTGATGTGGCACAACTCAATATTGGAAGAAACAGCTGCAAATATCCATTAATAGAACATAGTATGTATGAAGTATGAATCTAGTAGAATTGAAAGTTGTCAAAAATGAAATGGAACATATAAAGATTGATATCCTAGGTATTAGTGAGCTGAAATGGACTAGTTTAGGCCCTTTTGGATCAGACAACCATATGATTTACTATGCCAGAAATGACAAATTGAAGAGGAACGGCATGACATTCATCATCGCAAAGAATGTTTCAGTGTCTATCCTGAAGTACAGTGCTGTCAGTGATAGGATAATATTCATACATCTACAAGGAACACCAGTTAATATTACTGTTGTACAGATTTATGCAACAACTACCAAAGCCAAGCATGAAGAAATTGAAGATTTTTACCAGCTTCTGCAGTCTGAAATTGACTAAACATGCAATCAAGATGTGTTGATTATCACTGGTAATTGGAATGCAAAAGTTGGAAACAAAGAAAAATCACCACCAGTAGTTAGAAAATATGGCCATGGTGCTAGAAATGATGCTGGAGACAGCATGATAGAATTTTGCAAGGCCAACGACTTATTCATGGCAAATACCTTTTCTCAACAGCATAAATGCAGCTATACATGTGGACTTTGCTAGGTGGAAAACATAGGAATCAAACTGACTACATCTGTAGAAAGAAGTGAAGAAGAAGCTCGATAACTTTAGCCAAAACAAGGCTAGGAACTGAGTGTGGAACAGACCATCAGCTGCTCATGTGCAAGTTCAAGTTGAACTTGAAGTTAAAACAAGTCCATAACAAACAAAATATGACCTTGATTATAACCCACCTAAATTTAGAGACCATCTGAAGAATAGATTTGACGCATAACACTAATGACCGAAAACGAGAGGAATTGTGGGATGACATCAAGAACATCATCCATGAAGAAAGCAAAAGGTCATTTAAAAGACAGGAAAGGAAGAAAAGACAAAAATGGATGTCAGAAGACACTCTGAAAACTGCCCTTGAGCAGAGAATAGCTAAGCATATGGAAGAAAGGATAAGATGTAAGAGCTGAACAGAAGATTTCAAAGAGCAGCTCAAGACAAAGTCAATTATTGTAATGAAATGTGCAAAGGCTTGGAGTTGGGAAGAAGAACATGCTCGGCATTTCTCAAGCTGAAAGAACTGAAGAAAAAATTCAAGCCTCGAGTTGCAATAATGAAGAAAGAATTCTATGGGCAAAATAGAGAATGATGCAGGAAACATCAAAAGAGAATGGAAGGAATGTACAGACTGTACCAAAAAGACTTGGTTGATGTTAATTCTTTTCAGGAGGTGGTATATGATCAAAGAAGAAGTCAAAGCTGCATTGAAGGAATTGGCAAAAAAAAAAAAAAAGCAGGGCTCTAGGAATTGACAGAATACCCATTGAGATGCTTCAACAAATGGATTCTGTGCTGGAGGCACTTACTCAGCTATGCCAAGAAATTTCAAAGACAGCTACCTGGCCATCTGACTGAAAGAGATCCATATTTGTACCCATTCCAAAGAAAGGTGGAAATTATTGAACAATATCATTAATATCACATGCAAGTAAACTCTTACTGAAGATAATTCAGAAAACAGTTGCAGCAGTATATTGACAGAGAACTTCCAGAAATGCAAGCTGGATTCAGAAGAGGACATGGAATGAGAGATATCATTGCTGATATCAAATGGATCTTGACTCAAAGCAAAGAATAGCAGAAAGATGTTTACTTGTGCTTCATTGACTATCCAAAAGCATTCAACTGTGTGGATCATAACAAATTATGAATAACATTGAGAATAATGGTAATTCCAGAGCACTTAATTGTACTCATGAGGAACCTGTACATAGACCAGGAGGCTGTCATTCGAACAGAACAAGGGGATATATCATGGTTTTAAATCAGGAAGGGAGTGTGTCAGGGTTGTATCCTTTCACCATACTTATTCAATCTGTATACTGAGCAAATAATCTGAGAAGCTGGGCTATATGAAGACGAACATGGCATCTGGATTGGAGGAAGAGTCGTTAACAACCTACAATATTCAGGTTACACAACTTTTCTTGCTGAAAGTGAAGACTTAAAGCACTTACTGATGAAGATTAAAGACTACATCTGCAGTATGGATTACACCTCAACATAAAATTAAAATCCTCACAACTGGACCAATAAGCAGTGTAATTGGAGAAAAGATTGAAGCTGTCAAAGATTTCATATTACTTGGTTCCACAATCAACACCATTCAAAGCAGCAGTCAAGAAATCAGTTGTATTGCACTGGGCAAAAAAGACCTCTTTAAAGTGCTGAGGAGCAGAGAGGTCTCTTTAGAGACTGAGGTACATCTAACCTAAGCCATGGTGTTTTCAGTGGCCTCATATGCATGTGAAACCTGGGCAGCCTAAGGCACTTGACTGCTAACCAGGAGGCTGGCGGTTCAAAGCCACCAGCCACTCCTCGGAAGGAATGTTGGGCAATCTGCTGCCTCGGAAACCCAAGGAGTCACTGTGAGTCGGATTCAACTATATGGCAAATAACAACAACAAGAAGAGTTGATACTTTTAAGTTGTGATGTTGACAAAGAATACTCAAAGTACCGTGAACTGCCAGAAAAAGTAAAATCTGTCAAGGAAGTGCAGCCAGAATGTTCCTTGGAATAGAGAATGGCCAGACGTCATTTCACCTACTTTGGTCATGTTGTGGGAAGGTACCATTACCTGGAGAAGGATGTCATGCTTGGTAAAGTGGAGGGTCAGCAAAAAAGGGGAAGGCCCTCAACAAGGTGGATTGACTACAGTCGCTGTAACCACAGACTCAGGTATAGCAAGCATTGTGAGGCTGGCGCAGGACTGGGCAGTGTTTTGTTCTGTTGTATGTAGGGTCACTATGAGTCAGAGCCGACTCAATAGCACCTAACAACAACAGCAGCAACATTTTTCATCATTTCTTTCTCTTTCTTGAACATCCCTGTTTGTTGATTCATTGTTGTCATACTTTCTTTTGTTTCTTTTTTGTTTTTAGTTCTTTGAGATCATCTATAATAGCTCCTTTGAATTTTGTCTGCTAAATCCGACATCTGGTAACACTCAAAGACAGTTTCTACTGCTTATTTTTTCTGAATAGGAATTATACTTTCTTGATTTTTTTGTCTCGGTTTGTTTGTTTGTTATAAAGTGGACATTTCAGAGAACATGCTGTAGCGACTCCGGGTTCTGAATCTTTTCCCCCGAAGGTTGCGCTTGTTGCTGTTGTGTTTTGTTTTTTTATTTAGGCTGAATCTCTGAGATCTGTCCTTGGGTATGTAGCTGCTGGTGTCTCCTCTCCTCTTGATATATTATTATTGTTGTTGCTGTTATTTTTAAGACTGGTTTCCTAGGCGTCACCTTGAATCTGTGTAGGTTAGAAGTCAACCAGTGACTGGATGGAGCCAGTAAGGTTCCTTCCATTCTTGCTGGTGGATCTAAGTGTGGCAGTAAAGAAACACGTTCAATATTAAGGTCATTTTCAAGTCTGCCCCAGCTTTTACTTTCCATGGGGCCATTTTCAGTCTCCTTTGCACAGTCTCAGGGTTGGCCAGGAACAGGTAATGTAGTCTTAGCTATACATGAATATGCTTGTCCTAATCACAACCACAACCCCAGGCTAGGAGAGCCATTGTCACTTCCACTAACATACCCACTAAACATGGGCAGCACCTACCATCCCAGTCCAGCAAGCCCCCTTTGAAGCTACTGCTGCTTATAACCTGCCCCAGCTCTTGCAGAACTTGCTTGTTCAGTGGGCTGGGTGAGGGATCAAAGAGCTCCGGGTCAAAACACCACAAATTCCCATTGTTCTTATCCAAACTCCAGCAACTTTCAAGCATAAGTGCTTCTCTGATACTTACATGTGTTTGATCAGTTTCCAGACTGCTGAAATGGTTGTTTTTGTCAATTGCATCCTTTTAAGGGAGAGGATTTTTCTATCTCATTCAGCCATAGTCTAAAGTCCACCTCTTAATATTGTTAAATTGACTTTCAAAAAGGATGTACTAATTTATACTCCAAGAGCATTAATTTTCTCATTGAATATCCCTTACTTGAAATGGAATTGGAATTTCATTAAATACTTAAAAAGTTGATTTGACTCAGCAGGGTAAGCATTTGGGTCCCCAAGAGCTTAGGTCTTAGTTGATGAAACTGGGTTCATTGTAACATTGATTCACCAGGGATTCAGCTCCTGGAATATCAAGCTGTGGTTTTAGATTAGATCAGCCAGAATGGTGTACGATGTGTAGTAAGTGCTCAGAAAGTACTTGCTGGATGAATAGGCTACATGGCACAATGTTTTCTTAAGTTAAAAAAAAAAAATCACAAATTTCAGAATGATGTGTTAGTATGATCCCAGTTATGTAAAAACAGCCATCCTCCCCCAGCCCCTAAAAAGGCCTTTTTTCTCTGATTGTGTATGCATGGATGTTTCTAATGTATAGGAGAAAGTGAAAAAGGAATTAAAACCACGGTTACCTCAAGAGACTATTGGCTTGGACCCCCACGTTCAGCTGTGCATGTTTGCCCCGGAGAAGGAAGCACTGAGGGTGTGTCCACCCACAGAGAGTACCATTTTTAAGTTCCCATGGAGTCATGGAATGTGCTAGCCAGGAATTTCCAGGACAGGATTGCAGCCATGCAGGCAGCTTTACGTTTTTTCTGTATGGACGTCCATATTGTTGGAATTTTTCACAGCAATAATGTTTTCACGTGCCACTTGTATAAATGAACTTTGTTTCCCAGGAGTAAATTTAAGTTTAAACAGTTCAGGTTTGCCAGATGTGAAATGGGTTTGATTTTTTATTTCTTTCATTTTTGCTTTGCAGCGACCCGGGCTCAAGGGCTGGCTACCCCGCTCAGGTTTACAAAACTGCCAGCACAGAGACTCCTCGGCCCCCACAGCTGGCCCAGTCCAGCCCCTTCCAGCTCTCTGCCTCTGTCCCCAAATCCTTCTTCTCCAAGCAGCCTGTGCGCAATAAGCATCCAACGGGGTGGAAGAGAACTGACGAGCCACCACCTCGGCCACTTCCCTTCACTGACCCAAAGAAGTAAGTGCCTAGACACCCAGCTGGTCACCTGCCAGAGCCAAGCCTGGGCATCCCTGGACAAGGGAGAGGGCAGGGCCTCATTCACACCTTCAGCAGGTAACTCTGTACCAGGTACTGGTCTGTATACCAGGAGATAGCCATGAACTAGGCCGACAAAGATCTCTGCCTTCAGGGAGCTGACATTCTGATGGGGAGATGAACAGTAAATAAGGTAAAGAAGAAAAACAAAAAGTAGGTCAGAATCCAAAACCAAGGTGTTAGATGAGCCATGCTCTCAAAGGCTCTAACGGAAGATCTTGCCTCTTTCAGTCTTCTGGCCATTCCTGGTGATGCTTGCTATGACTTGACTATAGACGCATCACTCCAGTCTCTGCCTCCGCCATCACATGGACTTCTCCCTGTGTGTGTCTTCCTTTGAAGGACATCAATCTTTACTGGATTAAGGGCCCACCTTAATATGCTCCAGTGTGACCTCATGTTAACTAATCACATCTGCAGTGACCCTGTTACCAAATCAGGTCACATTCTGCAATCCCAGGTCCCAGGAAGGACATAAATTTTGAAGGATGCTAAACAAGGTAGTACAGGCATCCTCAGCATAAAGCCATGAAGCTGAAGAGCTCACCACAGGAGGGAATGTGGCTAGGGAAGAGGGGCTTAGGACTGAGCCAGGAGTTCTCTGCCAGGAGGGACCAGCCAACGAGGCTGAGAAGGAGCAGCCAGAGAGGTGGAAGAAGCCACAGGGATCAGGGTGAGAGACCAAGTCAAAGGAGCCCGAAAACCAAGCAGCGGATGGAGCCTCCTGGCAGTCATTCACAAGGGTTAAGGAGAGTAGGGTAGGTCAGGAACTGGAGGCAGCAAGTGGGAGCAGCTCATTTGAGGATCTTTGCTATAAAAAGGAAGAAAAAGAGAGCATATGCAGTGAAGAGAGTTTTATCTTGTTAGTGTAATATCTAACATCCATAGAGCACTCACCATATATAGGGCTCGGTTCTAAACTTGTTTTATGTATATTAATTTGGTGAATCCTCATAGCAGCCCTATAAGGTGGGCTCATCATTCTCCCCATTTTAGAGGTTGAGGGAACGAAGGCTTAGGGTCACATACAGGTAAGGGGAGAAGCTTGAATCTGCACCTAGGAAGCCTGGTTGAAGGCCTCTGTGCTGTTGGGTGTGGGGGGCTCTGCCTTCCTCCATCTTGTTCTTTGTCCCTCTTCTTTCATGGCCTAAATAAAAGAATGCAGCAGGTCATTCCGATTGGTGGATGACACACAGCTTAGAAGGAAAAGAGGTGTAGGAATGTAGAGCATGGTTCCACAGGCTGGTGGCAGGCAGGCTTGCTGATCTCATGCTGAGAATCCAGCACCTGCACCTCCCCCTCTGAGCCAGAGAAGACTTCTGAGAATTCGATTCTGATCATACCACTCCTCTGCTTAAACCTCCAGCAGCTTCCACTGCTCCCAGGGGTGCATTGTCCCAGTAGCATCCCAGATCGGTGGTGAAGGCTCACATTTACTGAGCACGGAAGTTGGACCAGGCTCTACTGTACCGTGTGCTTGGCCCCAGCTCCACTCCCCCAGACCCTGCGTGATCTGCCCATCATTCTCTGCTCTCATCTCCTCCCACTGTCCCCCTCGCTCATTCCACTCCACTACCTTGGCCTCACCACTCTGCAAACACGCCTAGTATGTGCCCACCTCAGGGCCTTTGCCCTGACTCTTTCCCCTGCCTGGAACTTTCTTTGTCCACGTCTGCTTCTGGCTGGCTCCCTGAGGACTAGCTCTAATGCCACCTCCTCAGACAGGCCTTCCCAACTTCCCACTGCCCTTCTGTGTCACTCTACCCTACTCCATTGTCTGTTTCCTTTCCACAAGGGCTGAAATCTCTGACTTGGTCACAAAATGGTGCCTGTCTGGCACACTCAGTTCTCCATCAATGAATGTATAAACCACGGCCCTTATTTTTTCCTCATGGCAACCCCACTAAGTAGGTACTGTAAGGCCTGAGCCCTGCTCAGGGCCTGGCACATAGAAGATGCTTAGAAAACACCATAAAAATGTGGATTCGATAGCACATCTTTTGCCCTGTGATAAGGTCCTACAAGGCATTTTACGTGTGTACATGTGTGTAAAGATAGGTAAACTCACTGTATGAAATATTTGGGGGTACAAGTGAAATCACTTCATGGTTCCTTATAATATCAGTTAACTTTGTTACAGATACATCTTAAGTCACGTACATAAAATAATATCTGAATTTAGAATTACTACTTCTGTCCACACTCTCCCATTTCATGAAGCTGTTTCATTCAAGCTTTTCTGCATATCCTGGAGGTGTGTGTTTGGCATTGTTAGAGACTCTGTGGGGTCATCTAACCCAGTCTTCCAGAAAACATCATCTTCATTTCCAGCTAAATTATTTGAGATAAAACATGTTTTCCTAAAATGAACGTGTGCATTTTCATAACTTATTTACATATATTATCCACAACTCAAAATGAGAAGAAACAGCACAAACATCCATTAATAATCTGAACATGGAATGTGTGGAGTATGAATCTAGGAAAATTAGAAGTTGTCGAAAATGAAATGGAACACATAAAGTTCAATATCCTAGGCATTAGTGTGCTGAAATGGACTGGTTTTGGCCATTTTGAATCAGACAATCATATGGTCTACTGTGCTGGGAATGACAAGGAGGAATGCTTTCACATTCATCATCAAAAAGAACATTTCAAACTCTCTATGGAAGTACAGTACTGTCAATGATGGATAATATCCATATACCTATAAGGAAAACCAGTTAATACTACTATAATTCAAATGTACGCACCAACCACTAAAGCCAAAGATGAAGAAGATTTTTGCTGTCTTCTGCAGTCTGAAAGTGCCTAACATGCAGTCAAGATGTATGGATAATTACTGATGATTGTAATGCAAAAGTTGGAAACAAAGAAGAATCATTAGTAGTTGGAAAATATGCCCTTGGTGCTAGAAATGATGCTGGAGATTGCATGATAGAATTTTGCAAGACCAATGACTTGTTCATTGCAAATACTTTTTTTTCATCAGTATAAACAGTGACTATATGTGGACCTCACCAAATGAAATACACAGGAATCAAGTCAACTATATCTGTGGAAAGAAACGATGGAGAAGCTCAATTTCATCAGTCAGAACAAGGCCAGGGGCTGACTGTGGAACAGACCAGCACTTGCTCATATAAAAGTTGAAGTTGAAACTAAGAATGTTAAAACAAATCCATGAGAGCCAAAATATGCCCTTAAGTATATCCCACCTCAATAGACCATCTGAAGAATAGATTTGACCATTCAACACCAATGACCAAAGACCAGACAAGTTGTGGGATAACATCAAGGACATCATACATGAAGAAAGCCAAAGGTCATTAAAAAGACAGGAAAAGAAGAGAAGACCAAAATGGATATGAAAAGAGACTCTGAAACTTGCTCTTGAATGCAGAGTAGCTGAAGTGAATAGAAGATATGATGACATTATGGAGCTGAACCAGAAATTTTCAAAGAGCAGCTGGAGAAGACAAAAGTGTTATAATGAAATGTGCAAAGACCTAGAGTTAGAAAATCAAAGGGGAAGAACACACTTGGTATTTCTCAAGCTGAAAGAACTAAAAACTTTCAGGCCTCGAGTTGAAATATTGAAGGCTTCTATGGGCAACATGGGAGCTCTGGTGGTATGATGCTGAGGCATTTGACTGCTAATCAGAAGGCTGGTGGTTCTAGCCCATCAGCCACTCCTTGGAAGGAAGAATGGGCAATCTACTTCCGTAGAGATACCACCTCAGAAACCCAAAGAAAGGTTGCTGTTAGTCGGGACAGACTCAAAGGCAGTGAGTTTGGACTCATCCAAAGAAGATGAAAGGAATACACAGTAACTATACCAAAAAGAATTGGTTGATGTTCAGCCATTTCAGAAGGTAGCAGATGATCAGGAACTGATGGTATTGAAGGAAGAAGTCCAAGCTGCATGAGGGAATTGGCAAAAAAACAAGGCTTCAGGAACTGACAGAATAGCCATTGACATGTTTCAACAAAGAGATGCAGCACTAGAAGTAGTCAGTCACTCATTTATGCCAAGAAATTTGGAAGACAGCTACCTGGCCAGCTGACTAGAAGAGATCCGTATTTGTACCTATTCCAAAGAAAGGTGATCCAACAGAATGCAGAAATTATCAAACCATATCATTAATATCACACACAAGTAAAATTTTACTGAAGATACTTCAAAAGTGATTGCAGCAGTGCATCAACAAGGAGCTGCCAGAAATTCACACTGGATTCAGAAGAGAGTGTGGAACAAGGGATGTCATTGCTGATGTCAGATGGATCGTGACTGAAAGCAAAGAATACCAGAAATATGTTTACTTGTGTTTTATTGACTATGCAAAGGCATTTGTCTATATGGATCATAGCAAATTATGGATGACATTGAGAAGAATGAGAATTCCAGAACACTTAATTTGTGTTCATGAGGAACCTGTACATAGACCAAGGAGATGGTGCATGGTTTAAATTGAGGAAAGGTGTATGTCAGGACTGTGTCCTTTGACCATATTTACTCAATCTGTATACTGAGCAAATAACCCGAGAAGCTACACTATAGGAAGAACGTGGTGAGGATTGGAGGAAGGCTCATTGACAACTTGTGATATGCAGACAAAAGCAAGACACAACCTTGAAGCACTTACTGAGGAAGACCAACGACTGCAGTCTTCAGTATGGATTACACCTCACCATAAACCGAAAGTCCTCACAACTAGACCATAAGCACCATCATGATAAATGGAGAAAAGATTTAAGTTGTCAAGGATTACATTTTACTTGGATCCACAATCAACACCCATAGAAGCAGCAGAGAAGAAATCAAACGGCATATTGCATTGGGCAATAATTCTGCAAAAGACCTCTTTAAAGTGTTAAAGAGCAGAGATGTCATCTTGAAGACTAAGGTGCACCTGACCCAG